AACCGAATAAATAAAAATAAATAACAAGAAGGAAACTGGAAAAATATTGTAAAAAGACATAATATTGATAAAGAATATTATGGCTTTTTTACAATATTTTTTTTCTATAACAAACTAAATTATAATTTTCAACATCTTTGAGTTCAATTTATGTAAATTTTTAATGATTTTTTTTCAAATATTATTAATTAAATTTAAGTTTTTGAGACTTGTTCAACTTATTCCAGTCTTCCAGTTTTTAACAGTGTGACTCTGATTATTTTTAAACTGTACTCATTAAAATTTAATAAGAAATTTTTAAATTTCTTGTATTCACCCTGTTTTACACAAGATGATTATGAATTTTTCGACAGATTTTCTCGATGCGAGAATTACAGAAACGGGGCACAGAATTCATACGTTCCAATAAACTACACAGGAAAAAATAGGCACAATTTTTTTCTTAACAAACATTTGCTTAAATTTAATTTCGATTTTTATAAGTATTTTTATTTGGGTTTATAACGAATTTGTTTGATGTTCACACAGAAGGAAAATAATTTCTAACAAACACCTTATTGAAATAAATTTAATTTTTAGTAAATATTTTTACTGATTCAATAAATGTTTTTGTTTGAGTTTTATTTTTATGTCAGCATATGGAACACAACAATAAAACCAGCTTTGAAATGTACTAAAATGAATTAATATAATTCTTATTTGGTTTATAACTGTGATGGCGATTATTTGTAGTTAATATATTTTACGAATATTTTTACTGACTTTTGGTTCAAGTGTGTAGTTGACATAATATTGTATTGAAAATACTTTAAATTCAAATCTAATAGGCCTTGATTATGTTTATTGGGAAAATAGTGAAACTTGGAAAATAATTTATTTAAACGAATACAATTGTAAGGAAAAGATAGCAAGAACACATGAGAGTGTTATATTCGGCTGTGCTGAATCTCATATACCCACCATCAAACCTTATGCCTTAAAAGGAATGCTCCCCTATAAACAACAGGGTGACATTACTCATCAAATTAACTGAAGATGACGTTATATGAGAGATAGGGTTAATTATTGACCGTTTTTCATAAATTTTTTAGACCAATTTTGGTTTATATAAAACATCTTTACATAGAATATCACTTCCCGACAATTTCCGCATGAAATTCGGTAGGAAGATTTACGTTCCTATAAATGTTTTTTGTATCAAATTTCATAACTGTTCACGTATTTTTAAGTCATCAATACTCGTAAGCCAGTAATGTCAATTATGGACCGATCAACATAAAATTTGGTTAAGAGATTTTTGTTCGCAAGGAATTACTTGGGTCGAATTTCATCGCTCTACTCGTATTTTTAAGCCAGTCGTTAAACTCATTTTTTGAAGGGGATCTTATATTGGAGGTAGGGTAAATTATGGCCGATCCATATAAAGTTTGATAGAGAGATTTTGACTTCATTGAAACTTATGTGTGTCGAATTTCATCACTATACTCGTATTTTTAAGCCAGTAATGAGCGTTATAGTCATTTTCCGAAGGGGACTTTTAAGGGGGGTTAGGGTCAAATATGGACCGATCCTCATACAATTTGGTAGGTTTTGGATCATAAGACGCTTACTTATGTCAAATTTCATAGTTATACTAGTTTTTTTAAGCCAGTAATGAGCGTTGAACAAATTTTTTTAAGAGTACCTTATATGGGAATAGGGTCAACTATGGACCGATCCAGTAAGCCAGTAATGAGCGGTCGAATTCCATCGCTTTACTCGAATTTTTAAGCTAGTAATGATCGTCTAAGTAATTTTTTGAAGGGGTCCTTATATGGGGGGTAGGGTAAATTATGGACCGATCTACATAAAGTTTGATAGAGAGGTTTTGGTTTCATTGAAACTTATGTGTGTCGAATTTCTTCACTATACTCGTATTTTTAAGCCAGTAGAGAGCGTTAAAGTCTTTTTCCGAAGGGGACCTTATATGGGGGGTAGGGTAAATTATGAATCGATCCTCATAAAATTTCATAGGGAGATTTTGGATCATATGAAATTTATTTCTGTTGAATTTCTTCACTATACTCTTGTTTTTAAGCCAGTAATGGGCGTTAAAGTAATTTTCTGAAGGGGACCTTATATGGGAGGTAAGGTCAATTATGGACCGATATACATAAAATTTGGTAGAGAAGTTTCGGATCATAAGAGACTTACTTAAGTCAAATTTCATAATTATACTAGTATTATGAAATATATTTTAAGCCAGTAATGAGCGTTAAACTCATTTTTTGAAGGGAAAGGTCAATTATGGACCGATCAACATAAAATTAGGTAGGGAGTTTTTTGATCATATGAAACTTACGTGTGTTAAATTTTATCACTATAGTCGTATTTTTAAGCCAGTAATGAGCGTTAAAGCTGTTTTTCGGAGGTCCACTTGTATGGGGGCTATCCAAACAAACCTTACCTATAGAGAATATTTGTGGAAAATTTCAATCGTCTAGCTCGTTTCGTTCGGACGCATCGTGCTTTCAACAGACAGACAGACGGACGGATAGACATGGCTAGATTGTCTTAGAATTTAATAAGGACCCAGAATATATATACTTTTGAGGGTCTATGACCAATATTTCGATGTGTTACAAACGGAATGACAAAATTTTCGATGGTGGGTATAAAAAGAAACATTTTTGTTTAAAATTTTGTTATTCAACAAGGAAGATTTTTTTCTATTTGACTGCAAGGAATTTGTTTACGAGAAGAATACCATAATTGAATAGGATAATTGGTAAGAGTAATATTGTCGTTTTCATGTAATACAGGAATTAATGAATTTTTATGTTTAGGAATTTGTAAATTACATATATTAATTTTGTAGCCAGTAGTGCATTCTGATGGTTGAGCTGTTGTTCCAAAAGAAAATTCTTTTCTGTTAGTTGTTTCTTAATTTGGGAGGAGAAGCATTGTTTAAAATAACATATTACGCAATATTGGAATTTATTAAAGTGCAACCCGAAGATGATCAAAATTCTATCAAAGAGTTACATAAAGACATTGAAATTACTTATTATTATTCTCTGGAAAGATAATAGGAGGACCGACAAATCCTCCTATTCTAAATATTGGGATGGCCAGATAGAGATTCGGTTGTGCGTTTTATTATGGAATCAATTGCCTGAACTGTTAAAATAATGTTATAAAAACTTTCATATATCAGAAGTTTTGTCCGAAATTTATATTTTATCATTTAGAAATCTTTGAAACTTTCGTAATTTTTTTTTATTAATTTTTAAATGATTTTTTTATCTTAAATCTATAACTATTTTTGAAAAATTTTCGTTAAAAAAATTGGTTACATGGAAATTAATGTAAAACTTTCGAGTTAATCTAAAATTTAAAACCTATTTCATAAAGACACCATACATACTTGTTACATATAACCATATGAGCAATTATCAAAGTTTTTTAATTTTAGAGTTAAAAAAAATCAAAAAAATTTTTTGATGGCACATTCAAAATATTTTGTGTGCATATAAACAGACCCCAATACGTGATGAATCCGTTCGCGTTAATCATTTTGATCGAGGGGCGCAATAGCTATAGCGGTTTTCACTTAAATATTTAAAAAATTCTTAAAAATAGTATTTATATATGTAATGTTTGAAAAAAATTGCACATAATTGTAAAAATAATTCAAATTTAGCGCATTAAATACATAGCATAAGATTTATTTTCAAAATTTTTAAAAATACACAGTAAGAAATCTCATTTCAGTAATTTTTTAACTTGTTGCTTATAGTTTTTGAAAAATCGCGAATTAGTAAAATTTAAGAAAAAAACTGTTAATATCTGAATTTTACGAGCTTGATTTATAAGGGAATGGAATTAAATATTTATAGAGTGATGCTTTTTAATGCTAGGTACATTTTATTTGGCCCGCAAAAACTACAATTATTTAACTTGTTTGATGCGCCCCAGTTTTACATTAAAGTATTAAGAAAACTTGCAAATGGTGATAATTTTGACGAATTTTGAGCATCATCCATGATGTGCCTTGGCAAAATGTGTTTAGATAAAAGTGACGTCTTTGTAGCGTACAAGGACATTTTAAATACATTTATGATCCCAAACCATTGTGTTTATCATTATCTTCATGTCTATTCATTAAATGATTGTATAAGTCGATGTTTGATATATAAAATCGCAAAAATAAAAAAATGAAATTTTGCAAAATTTTTAAAAAGTTCATACAATTTTTGCATGCTGCTCCGATTTTATATTTCAAAATAACAAAAAACTCAATTTACGCAATAATTCAAATTATTTCCTATATAAGTGCTAATGTGCCGCGCTAAAAACTGATATATTAAAAAATTTACGTTCAAGTTTTCCAACTTTTGTAGCTGTTGTACCCATCTCCCATTCAGGGAACATTAACGAGATATATACCATACTGTGTATAAATACATCAGCTAATCACTGTTGTCCCAATTTTTGGTATTTTATTAAGGGACGTCAACGTCCGGTCAGAAAACTGTAAAAAATTCAAAATTGGAAAAAACCTGGTGACAAATTTCAACATCCAAGTTCTAATACGTAAAGTGATATTACACATAAGGTTGTAAAGAATTTATCTCCTAAGTGTCTTTAGTTAGTACTATAACGAATAGTGTCCAAAAGTTTAAAGCTATGGACAAAAAAAAATAAAAAGAAGGTGAAAAAATTAAACTTCGAAAACCGATCACGTTTAGAAATGAAGACCAAGAGTTTTACAATTTTGTAATTTTTAGGCTGGAAGTCTTGTGTATATAATTTGTAAAAATTTTGTTTGACATTTTACTCTTACCAAAGTTATTAAAAATTTAGTTCAATTTCAAAGGAATTAAAAAAGCTTGATAATTGCTCATATATACATATGTATATAAACACTCTTACCAAAATTACTTAAACCCAACAAACTTTAACTAAAACTCCGTCTCATAAACTATTGGTTGATTCCTATTAATCCCCACTTCGAATAGTTTCAAGTCTTCTGGCGCCAGCTGACATCGAGGGACCTAATATTGTAAGTTGAATTTTCTTTTGTTTTATCAACCAGAATTACTATGTATACAATATAACATAAAAACAATAATTAGTTCTAAGTTTTTAATTTATTATTTCAAAAATTAAGAAGTACTTAAGCCCTCCCGTCACGCCACGGCTTATTCCAAGGGAGAGTAAATATGGTATTTTACATATTCGTTGTCTGTAAATAAGTAAGCAATTGTTGAACTTTGTCGTTTCTAAGTTATTAGAAAGAAAAGTAAATTCAATTTGAAATACATAAATATATTCGAAATATGTTTATATTTTCTATTAAATCAATTGCTTTTGTATATCACATCCATATTATAACATGATCGTAAATATCGTTTTAATTAAATACATATATAATTATTATGGACAAAACTATTAATTATTACTTACTTTAAAATAATTGAGATAGATCAACTATTTAAAATAATTACATATTTAATAAATAAATTTTTACATATTTTAATAAATTTTGTATTTATTTATTTATTTATAAATCTACATAAGTCAATATATACATTTATTTTCAAAATTTTTAAAACATGAAAATATTATTTATAATCTACCTTAATATGCTAACACATATTGCGTCATGGTAACTATGGATAGTTTCATATGTTTTAGCACTAATCGTGCTTTCGTCTATATTTGAAAAACACTAATCAATTTGTGTTGCACTTTTTGTAGTGCTCGTCGAATTTAGAGAGTTAAAGCCTTTATCCCTGAGTTGTCTTTCTAACTCGCTGCAACTATTTCTTCGGCAAATATTAAAATCTCCAATTAAAAACGGATTTTTCATTAAAATAGTTACTTTGGGAAAACAACTCATTTAACTCTCTAATTACAGATCCAGCAGGGTAGTTTTTTTTTCTATTCAAAACGGTAGTGTTGATATCCTGGCACTTAAATATAATAAATTCAAATGTTTTATTTGCAATGTGAGCTTGTTTACTATCGCAATATTGTATAGAATTTGCAAATTAATTTTTCACGTAAACGATAATTCCACGTTTGCATTCTTGGTAAAATGCTAAAACCAGGAATATCATAATTTTCATGGCTTAAAGTCTATGTCTCGTCAAAACAAAGGATATCTGAATCCAACATTAACTTATCACCACGAACATCTTCAATATGTGCATGTAAGCTTTGAACATTATGATAAGTCACATTTATTGAATTTCTATCCATCAGAAAATCAAAATTTGTTATGAATTATTTACTATTTTGAAGGTTGTTTATCTCCACTTGCACTACGTCATTATTAGTCAGGTTTGTTAAATGAGTTGTGAACTTTCCAATTAAGTAAAGTCCCGCTGCACTTGTTGCTCTACTGCACGCAAAATATAAAGCAGAACGTTTCATTCCTGATTTAAGATGAACAGCTACGCTTGAGTATGTTGCCCCTTGGCTCTTGTGAATAGTTATTCCTTCAGCTGGTACAGCTGAAAACTGCCTACGGTCAATGTTGACATTTTCATTCCGTTTATATTGGAAGGACCGTACTAACAATTCAATAGGTGTTCACAGAGCTTCGGTTGGATGTCGCCTTTGTGATCGAGGTAAAACACCAATGGAAGCATCAGGAAATTTAATCCACAATGTTAATGGTTTTCGATTATTATCAAAGTCAATTTGCATAAGTTGGCCAGTTGCTCCATTAACCAAGCCATCGCTAGTGTTGATATTAACCGTAATCATGTACTTTGCAGTTGTCTTTAGCTTTAAATCATACCGAAGTCCTTGAGTCTCGGATGTTTTAAAGCATTTGACATTTTCCAAAATGCGATCCCTATTTTCTCGGGATAATCCCACTGATTTCACTTGATCAATGGCATATGATGTTATCTCTTCTGTAGCTATTCTATTAAGTTTAATCGTGTTCCAGTTATGAACTTCAATATTTGTACATAGTAAATGAATTGCTTCATCTGGAACATGCGATTCAAGCACTTCTCGTGATTTCATAAGAGATATATCTTCTTCAGACATTTTTCCGCATGCCATATTATTAAGAGCTCTTGCAAATGCTTGATCTTCTCTTTGGCGCATTATTTCGTTGAGCTCAAAATATTTAAACATGTCCCACAGTGAAGATCCGTATACACTATACGGATCATTTGTTGGTGCGGAAAATATCCAACTATCACCTACGGGGGGAAGTTTCCTTAAATCTCCAAATACTAAAACAGAAATCCCTCCAAACGGTGCAGTCGATTTAAACACTTGTTTTAGCCTTGTGTCGAGATACCTTTACATTTTTGATCCTACCATAGATATTTCATCTATGATTAGGAGCTTTAAGTTCAAGAATTTCGAATACAATGTGTTGGCTGTATCGTTAGTTAGTGGTCTAAGGTCTGCCGAATATTGATTTATGGGCAGTGAAAACATTGAGTGAAGTGTAGCTCCACCTATGCCAAATGCCGCCTTTCCTGTTGGGGCGCAAAGCAAGACTTTTATCACATTTGGGTCATTACCAGGTATATAATTTTGTCTGTAATTAACTGACTGATATATTGCAGATATTAATCTACTTTTACCGCATTTGGCATAGGTGGAGGCCAAATGCTGCCTTTCCTGTTGGGGCGCAAAGCAAGACTTTTATCACATTTGGGTCATTACCAGGTATATAATTTTGTCTGTAATTAACTGACTGATATATTGCAGATATTAATCTACTTTTACCGACTCCATCACCACCTCCTACAAATTCGTAAAATATCTGTCCCAATTTTATGTTATGTAACAAATGGGTCAAATAAATCTTTTGCTTATTATTTAATGATCTGACCATTGTTAACAACTCATTTTCTGGTATAAGAGGTTGTAGCTTTATTAAACGAATACAACCTGGTGAGTATTTACATTATAATGTCTGTATCTGATAACATTTGGCTTCGTTTTCTTTTTGATGAATCCGCTATTATCTTTTAATCTCAGAAATCTTCCCGATAACTCGTTTTCCTCCTGGTCCTCGTGCTCATTATAAGTATCTTCATTTTGCATATTTCTTGCAGTTCGTGAAAACTTATAAAAAGCTGCAAAATCTGCCAAACACAGAGAATCCAACTCATCAGGTCGTTGTACGTAATGGTCTAAAAGACTTGTTACATAGATATCTGTAGAGTCAGATATGGAATACCATATCGGCAAATTCTTTCATCCCTATATTCTACAGTACAATACCGATTATGATTATGCTTTTGATAATCTATGTATTGAGCAACACATGGATCGCTACCATTTGTTCTTATATATTTATCAATAAACTGAATAACGGATGGTATTTGGGGAAATGGACGGGTTATGTCCTTTTCTTCCCTCCATATGTGGTAACGAACGCGAGTTCTTCCGAATCTTCATCCATTATCATATCAAGTGGGCGCTGTCCTTCACCAGGTGACATTACTAGTCTTTGTAGTGGTATATTTTCCACTGGAATATTATTAAGTAATGTTTCTTGGCCACCTGTATTAAGATTTTCTACATCAAACTCGTTAATATTGTTCTCAGTGCTAGAATTATAATTATTTTGATTATTGAAAATACTGCACCTCTTATTACACTTTGTCTTTCGAAACCGAGAGCTACAATTATCATAAAAGGAAGTCTAGGTGTTATCAGCCGTTCTTCTATAGACGTTAAGTCTTTGAGACATGGTGTTTTGAGTGCCGTAACGTATTCCTTGTTTGCTCCAACACGTGGCAATATATGTATGTTATCTCGCCTTCTTCAAGGATTTTCAGTGTTACGAACTTAATCCAAATTACTGCGTCTAATATGATGTTCAGTTGTATTGCGGGTTTGTTCTTCTAATCTGTATTCCTGATCGCTGCGTCTAGTTTAATGCTCAGATGTATTGCGGACTTGTTCTTGCAACCTATATTATTGATCGCTGCGTCTAATTTGATGCTCTGCTGTATTACGGGCTTGTTCTTGTAATCTATATTCCTGATCACTCCGTCTAGTTTGATGACTTGCTGTATCACGAACTTGTTATTGCAATCTATAATAGAGATTACTGCGTCTAATACGATGCCCTGCTGTATTGCGGACTTGTTCAGCTTCTCTGTATAATAAATCAGCTCGTCTAATTTGACGGCTAACATCGTCACGAACCAGTTCTCTTTGACTATAAAACGGATCTGCACGTCTACTTTGGCGACTGGAATCGTCACGAGCCAATTCTCTTCGTGAGTAAGATGGATATGCACATCTATTTTGGCGACTTAATTCGTCACGAGCCAATTCTCTTTGACTTTGAGAGAATTGAATGGTTCTATTAGCATTTTTCCGCAAAAACAACCTTCTCGTTGTTTGAATATTAATTAAAGACTAAGTTCTGGTACCATTTTACCCTCATGTAAGTACCTTTTGCGTTGAAATCCTTTTCATCACAGGTATAATTGGTAATTAATCCTTTTTATGGTATTAAGCGATACAGGTATAATTATATATAATATAAAGTGTTAAATACTTGTTTTCTCATATTTTATTTATTTTTATATCGAAGTTAGTTCTGCTGAATTTTATTACGGTACTAATGATTATTAGTAAATTATGGACGTTTATGTAATTTTCAGAAGGGGGGTTTGTATGGGGGCTAAAAATCGGCAGTATTATTTAGGCTTATATAAAACTCAGATGTGCAGATTTCTGAAGAGATACTAGTATATTTATAGTAGTTGTGATCTAAAAACCGCAAATCCGAAGACCCGGTTGTATGGGGGCTAGGTGAAATAATGGACCGATTTTAACCATTTTCAATAGGCTTCGTCCTTGGGCTGAAAAAGACATCAAAATATCTTGAAAATTTCATCAAAATATCTTGAAAATTGCGACCTGTACCTTGCGCACAAGGTTTAATCGGCTCAGAAAGTGATTCTGATTCGATCGGTATACTTTAAGGTGGGTGTAGGACCAATATTTTTGTGCGTTACAAACATCAGCACAAACGTATAATACCCTCCCCACTATGGTGGTGTAGGGTATAAT